ATCGGGCCCGCCTGTTATGCTTTATTGGACGCCTGTGAAAACTTCTGCTAAGAACCCTGATCAGATATCGAGAATCGAAGCCGACACGGATCAAGAGCCTGAACCATTGCGGCTTCATTAGTCTGTAAGTCAGCATCATAGTTAGAAATATTACTATCGTATGACCGTTAAAAGCACTAAATATACACGTCGAAAGGTGAATATGTGTGCGAAGACATTGAGGGAGGGATCACGAAATTTATTAATAGCTCTGAGGGGGATACTTCAATAAAATAACATTTAAAGGTGGGATAAGCTAAATGTTTACTGTCTTAAGCCGAAAATCCTCCGCCACCCCCCCGGCGATGAGTAATGATTGGTCCCTTAGTCGCGCTGAACGCGCAGGTCTACGGTCGAAAGTGATTATTTGTATAGAAAGGCTCTTTCATGGTTAAAGATACTAAGCAAAGCAATCGTTATTTTTTCATTATTTCTTTCTCAAAGGTATAAAAAAAAACCCACGTAAGTTACTGCGAAAAATAAAATAGACGCCCCATGCAAAAGAAAACCACTGCACGGCATGTTGGCTCTTGAACTTTTGAATGGTTTTCTTTTCATGGAATGTTTAATTTGCTTTTTTGATCGAAAAACGCGTTTCACGCCAAGATGCTGAATTGATTTTCATTGCAATTTAAAATAACAAAATTTCGACTTCTCATGTTAGTGAGGAAAATTTATATTTTGGCGAAAAAATGTTTCCCCGTGTTTTTCACTTAGACCTCGTGTTTTCCACTTAAACCCCGTGTTTTCCATCAGACCCCGTGTTTTCCACCAGACTCCGTGCTTTCCACACCCCGTGTTTTCCACACCCCGCGACCCGGGATCCCGAAACCCGTATCCCGGGACCCCGGCCCCGCGTTTTCCATCTAGCCAGGTAAAATAGATACAAGGGCACAAGACTAAGACTAAATAGAACTAAAAACCATTTTTCGTCTGAGACGGATGTGGAACTAACGCGAGCTGTGATTGGTCGGTGACCGATGTTTCACCAATAAAAAACGTGTACAAGCAAAGAGTTTTGATCATTTTTTCGATGTTTGCGCCTAAAATAACCCAATTTTTCTTTTTGGTCTTGGTTTTGGTTTGGGTATCAGTTGCAATTTTTGGCTTTTTCCTTTTTTTTAAGCATTCGGTTTTCGGTAAGAAAACTACAAAAGAGGATTTTTGTTTGGTTTCCTAGTTCCCAGACCTCTTTATATCACCTCGGTCATTCATTTGGTCCAGACAGGAGCCATAATCGGGGACGGAGACCGTAAGCGCGCGCCATTTCAAGTATTGGGGTTGTCCCC